TCACGGAGTCGTCCACACAGCACAACGTCAACATTACGCGAGAGCCCCCACTCGAAAGCCAGCCAGCCATACCACATATAGTCCCCGTGACCTGCGCGAGCTTGAACGTAGGACTGCCTATCACGATCACATCCGAGCCAAAATCGTGCAGAAAGAGCTCGCAGCAGGTGCTATAAACGCAGCAACAAACTAAACGCCCTTGCGCCGGCACCGACGTGCCAGAACGGCCAAGAGAGGCACGCCACAATGACCATCGGCCAGTTAAACGCGCTGCCTCCGGGAACGACCGCATTGCCTACAAAGCAGCAATCCGTTCCCGCCCTCTAGCAGCGAAATGCCAACGCATAGCGCACCAGGATGATACGGTTGGCCACGCGATGAATACTTATACCAGGGACGATGCTCAGTATAGCGGCTTGGCACTGTTTCAAACTACACTAGCAGCGCTTTCCTAGCGTGGTACCCCCTCGAACCCTCAGCGGCACCTCCAGCATAGTGTACGCAGGACCTCCCTTGCCAAGTCACGGCACCACGCAGTGTCTAACACCCAAATCTGACGTAATACCACTTGATCACGGAGTCGTCCACCCAGCACAAAGTCAACATTACGCGAGAGCCCCACTCGAGAGCCAGCCAGCCATACCACATATAGGCCCCGTGACCTGCGCGAGCTTGAACGTAGGACTGCCTATCACGATCACATCCGAGCCAAAATCGTGTGGAAAGAGCTCGCAGCAGATGCTATAAACGCAGCAACGAACTAGACGCCCTTGCGCCGGCACCGACGTGTCAGAACGGCCAAGAGAGGCACGCAACAATGATCATCGGCTAGTTAAACGCGCAGCCTCTGGAAACGGCTGCATCGCCTACAAAGCAGCAATCCGTTCCCGCCCTCTAGCAGCGAAATGTCAACGCATAGCGCACCAGAATGATACGGTTGGCCACGCGATGAATACTTATACCAGGGACGATGCTCAGTATAGCGGCTTGGCACTGTTTCAAACTACACTAGCAGCGCTTTACTAGCGTGGTACCCCCTCGAACCCTCAGCGGCACCTCCAGCATAGTGTACGCAGGACCTCCCTTGCTAAGTCACGGCACCACGCAGTGTCTAACACTCAAACCTGACGTAATACCACTTGATCACGGAGTCGTCCACCCAGCACAAAGTCAACATTACGCGAGAGCCCCCACTCGAAAGCCAGCCAGCCATACCACATATAGTCCCCGTGACCTGCGCGAGCTTGAACGTAGGTCTGCCTATCACGATCACATCCGAGCCAAAATCGTGCAGAAAGAGCTCGCAGCAGGTGCTATAAACGCAGCAACGAACTAGACGCCCTTGCGCCGGCACCGACGTGCCAGAACGGCCAAGAGAGGCACGCCACAATGACCATCGGCCAGTTAAACGCGCAGCCTCTGGAAACGGCTGCATCGCCTACAAAGCAGCAATCCGTTCCCGCCCTCTAGCAGCGAAATGCCAACGCATAGCGCACCAGGATGATACGGTTGGCCACGCGATGAATACTTATACCAGGGACGATGCTCAGTATAGCGGCTTGGCACTGTTTCAAACTACACTAGCAGCGCTTTCCTAGCGTGGTACCCCCTCGAACCCTCAGCGGCACCTCCAGCATAGTGTACGGAGGACCTCCCTTGCCAAGTCACGGCACCACGCAGTGTCTAACACCCGAACCTGACGTAATACCACTTGATCACGGAGTCGTCCACCCAGCACAACGTCAACATTACGCGAGAGCCCCCACTCGAAAGCCAGCCAGCCATACCACATATAGTCCCCGTGACCTGCGCGAGCTTGAACGTAGGACTGCCTATCACCATCACATCCGAGCCAAAATCGTGTGGAAAGAGCTCGCAGCAGATGCTATAAACGCAGCAACGAACTAGACGCCCTTGCGCCGGCACCGACGTGCCAGAACGGCCAAGAGAGGCACGCCACAATGACCATCGGCCAGTTAAACGCGCAGCCTCTGGGAACGGCTGCATCGCCTACAAAGCAGCAATCCGTTCCCGCCCTCTAGCAGCGAAATGCCAACGCATAGCGCACCAGGATGATACGGTTGGCCACGCGATGAATACTTATACCAGGGACGATGCTCAGTATAGCGGCTTGGCACTGTTTCAAACTACACTAGCAGCGCTTTACTAGCGTGGTACCCCCTCGAACCCTCAGCGGCACCTCCAGCATAGTGTACGCAGGACCTCCCTTGCCAAGTCACGGCACCACGCAGTGTCTAACATTCAAACCTGACGTAATACCACTTGATCACGGAGTCGTCCACCCAGCACAAAGTCAACATTACGCACTCGAAAGCCAGCCAGCCATACCACATATAGTCCCCGTGACCTGCGCGAGCTTGAACGTAGGACTGCCTATCACCATCACATCCGAGCCAAAATCGTGTGGAAAGAGCTCGCAGCAGATGCTATATACGCAGCAACGAACTAGACGCCCTTGCGCCGGCACCGACGTGCCAGAACGGCCAAGAGAGGCACGCCACAATGACCATCGGCCAGTTAAACGCGCAGCCTCTGGGAACGGCTGCATCGCCTACAAAGCAGCAATCCGTTCCCGCCCTCTAGCAGCGAAATGCCAACGCATAGCGCACCAGGATGATACGGTTGGCCACGCGATGAATACTTATACCAGGGACGATGCTCAGTATAGCGGCTTGGCACTGTTTCAAACTACACTAGCAGCGCTTTACTAGCGTGGTACCCCCTCGAACCCTCAGCGGCACCTCCAGCATAGTGTACGCAGGACCTCCCTTGCCAAGTCACGGCACCACGCAGTGTCTAACACCCAAACCTGACGTAATACCACTTGATCACGGAGTCGTCCACCCAGCACAAAGTCAACATTACGCGAGAGCCCCCACTCGAAAGCCAGCCAGCCATACCACATATAGTCCCCGTGACCTGCGCGAGCTTGAACGTAGGACTGCCTATCACGATCACATCCGAGCCAAAATCGTGCAGAAAGAGCTCGCAGCAGATGCTATAAACGCAGCAACAAACTAAACGCCCTTGCGCCGGCACCGACGTGCCAGAACGGCCAAGAGAGTCACGCCACAATGACCATCGGCCAGTTAAACGCGCAGCCTCTGGGAACGGCTGCATCGCCTACAAAGCAGCAATCCGTTCCCGCCCTCTAGCAGCGAAATGCCAACGCATAGCGCACCAGGATGATACGGGTGGCCCACGCGATGAATACTTATACCAAGGACGATGCTCAGTATAGCGGGCTTGGCACTGTTTCAAACTACACTAGCAGCGCTTTCCTAGCATGCTACTCCCCTCGAACCCTCAGCGGCACCTCCAGCATAGTGTACGCAGGACCTCCCTTGCCTAGCAGCTTGGACGTAGGACTGCCTATCACGATCACATCCGAGCCAAAATCGTGCAGAAAGAGCTCGCAGCAGATGCTATAAACGCAGCAACAAACTAGACGCCCTTGCGCCGGCACCGACGTGCCAGAACGGCCAATAGAGTCACGCCACAATGACCATCGGCCAGTTAAACGCGCAGCCTCTGGAAACGGCTGCATCGCCTACAAAGCAGCAATCCGTTCCCGCCCTCTAGCAGCGAAATGCCAACGCATAGCGCACCAGGATGATACGGTTGGCCACGCGATGAATACTTATACCAGGGACGATGCTCAGTATAGCGGCTTGGCACTGTTTCAAACTACACTAGCAGCGCTTTCCTAGCGTGGTACCCCCTCGAACCCTCAGCGGCACCTCCAGCATAGAGTACGCAGGACCTCCCTTGCCAAGTCACGGCACCACGCAGTGTCTAACACCCAAACCTGACGTAATACCACTTGATCACGGAGTCGTCCACCCAGCACAAAGTCAACATTACGCGAGAGCCCCACTCGAAAGCCAGCCAGCCATACCACATATAGTCCCCGTGACCTGCGCGAGCTTGAACGTAGGACTGCCTATCACGATCACATCCGAGCCAAAATCGTGCAGAAAGAGCTCGCAGCAGGTGCTATAAACGCAGCAACGAACTAGACGCCCTTGCACCGGCACCGACGTGCCAGAACGGCCAAGAGAGTCACGCCACAATGACCATCGGCCAGTTAAACGCGCAGCCTCTGGAAACGGCTGCATCGCCTACAAAGCAGCAATCCGTTCCCGCCCTCTAGCAGCGAAATGCCAACGCATAGCGCACCAGGATGATACGGTTGGCCACGCGATGAATACTTATACCAGGGACGATGCTCAGTATAGCGGCTTGGCACTGTTTCAAACTACACTAGCAGCGCTTTCCTAGCGTGGTACCCCCTCGAACCCTCAGCGGCACCTCCAGCATAGTGTACGCAGGACCTCCCTTGCCAAGTCACGGCACCACGCAGTGTCTAACACCCAAACCTGACGTAATACCACTTGATCACGGAGTCGTCCACCCAGCACAAAGTCAACATTACGCACTCGAAAGCCAGCCAGCCATACCACATATAGTCCCCGTGACCTGCGCGAGCTTGAACGTAGGACTGCCTATCACGATCACATCCGAGCCAAAATCGTGCAGAAAAAGCTCGCAGCAGGTGCTATAAACGCAGCAACAAACTAGACGCCCTTGCGCCGGCACCGACGTGCCAGAACGGCCAATAGAGTCACGCCACAATGACCATCGGCCAGTTAAACGCGCTGCCTCTGGGAACGACCGCATTGCCTACAAAGCAGCAATCCGTTCCCGCCCTCTAGCAGCGAAATGCCAACGCATAGCGCACCAGGATGATACGGTTGGCCACGCGATGAATACTTATACCAGGGACGATGCTCAGTATAACCTCTTCCGTCGGCTTTGAGGCAATTGTGGTCCTATTCCAACGTCGTACTGGCAGCAGCTATAAATCTGGCGTAGCAGCTGTGGGGGTGGCTCCGATCAATATCGATGTGCCCGCCACTACAATGTCCTGACGACGATTGACCAAGGCCAATGGACAGCGTGGTTGTGTTTATTTGTATATGTCGTATCAGAGTGTGGTGATCGATGCTACGCCTACCCCCACGATGATTGAAATTGTTTCGTGTCCGGGTTAGCGCGGAAAGGCTTAGCTTCCACACACGGGACGATGTCGTCCCCACTCCCTGGCTGGCTGCTGGATCTGATGGGCCATCGCACCGACAGCCATCTCTGTTCCCACCACTATCATCATCTGGAGGGCCGTACTCAGTGCCGCCGACAGTGTGATGGCTGCTCCACTGTGCCCGAAAATTGCGAGCCCTGCGTCGGTGGTAGTAGCTGCCACGCTGCCGTCGAGACAGACGGCCATCGATACTTCCACGTTCTCCTCTGTCGTGCAACAAGGCAGCGCTGTAACCAAGTCTAGTGTTTGGTTTGAGTCGCAGAAGGAGGGCTGAGGCAGCCGAGAGGGCCTGTGCTGAGGCCAACACGTCCACTTGTTTTGTCATTCTTCCGTGGAACGACCGCGTATCCACTGCTGCCAAGGAATGTGTACTACCGGCGAGGCTTACAGTGCATACCCGATATCCCACACAACCCAGCGTATCCAAAGCACGTAAGAGTAGTATTTCCACCTGAGTGATCTTGACGCAAATTGTCAGCTTGCTCACAGGAAATGAGGCTTCCAACTCGCTGTCATCGCGCCTATTCAACTTCTTCACACAACGCATTGGAGTTGTAGATGAATGTGTATATCAGCCAACGGGAGAAACTTCCCAATTGTAGCTGATGAAGTGCGATAAATTAACTTATACCTGCACGGTTTTGCCATTCCCAATACGCGCTCCACGACGACTCGAGTCGGCCCGGTTTTGCCGTTCCCCGATACGCGCTCCACGACGTCCCGTTCTGCTAGACACGAAGCAGCTCACGACAGTGCACACACCGACCACCACATCCATCACCACGCGCTCGTATATCGATTAGTCGCGCCTGAAAACCTTTCGGTAAAATTCGAGCAGCAGACCCAGCCAGCACACGATGATGGTCAACATCCGTGGAATCCACCGGGTCAAGGAAGTGAAAGCAGAAGTCAATGGCGGCGTTCACCAGGATCACCATGATGAGATATAACGTGACGTAGTGAACACGTTGGCAAAGCCGCTGAAGTCCGAAAGCTGGACCTCGTCCTGTTCCTTCTCCTCCTGCTCAGGCTTTGCAGAGTTCGACAGCGTAAACGGCAAGTGAGCTTGAAAACGTAAAGTGTGACGTGAGATTAGAGTTAGAGACCAACGCTGTTCCTATCCGCAACACCCGAGACCACAGCCTCAGCTCCATCACCTTAGTCCTGCGAGCCACCGGTCCGCCAATGGCTGCCACTGCTGCATGTCTTTGCCTAGTCAATCGTACCGGCTCGTACCGCCGTCCCACACCACTGCTGCGGCCTCCGTCAGTGCTCGGCGGCACGCGTTCCTCGTCGCCCCTGCGTCACGCCAGCACTGCCCGCTTCTGGACCCCACTAGAGGATACCGGTATGGGCCCGGTCTACCAGAGACCAGCCAGCTGTCCTACTGCGTCGGTGTCTGTCGCCGCGGTGTCGTCTGGTACAAGCGGCGCCATCGCCGCTCAGCACCGCCCCCCCAAGACGAACACCGCAAACTTGTAACTTGAAAATGAAATATTGGCCAAAAAAAATTAAAATTGAAAATGAATCTTGAAAATCAGAAACTTGAAAATTGGGAAACTTGACTCCTATCTATATACCCAAGACGAATGCCAAATGTTCGTCTCACAAATTGATCTTGACGTTGAAGTCGAAGACTTCAGAGTTACAGCATGGCTGTAAGCTCGGGAGCTTCCACAGACTGCACGTATTGTTGAACTAATTTAGGGACATCGCGATAGATTGCGGCAAATGGTTCCCACGAGTTTTCCACGTCTTCGAGTCTACGCCATGCCACGTAAAGCTGCCATTCCTTAGCCGTGGTGCCATAGCGGTGATCCACAATTGCTCGCACACCAAGCACAATACCTTGGGTTGCCACATGTTCACGAATCTCGGCCGTGGTGCCGACATCGTCGTCGCAGTAGTGCTTGAGGCGCGACCCGTGCACCTCGAACTCGTCATCCGTTAGCACGTGCGCCACAATGAATGAATGTGAAAGGGCATGAACTACTCGGAACGGCCCAACCCAACGCGCCAGGAGCTTGTTGCCACTCATGCGGTTATAAACGCGTGGCCACAGCACGTAGTTACCCTCTTCAAAGTTGCATTCTGTACCCCTGGACACGCGCTATTTCCTGCAAGCGGCGGCGCACTTTGCGCTCGACAACATTGCAGTGCAACTCGTGCAAATGCTCGCGCAGCTTGTTGAGGTGCAGCGTAGCCACGGTCACATCAATCGGCAACAATCGATAGGAGGCGTCGGTGGGAACCGACACGGTGTCGAGTAGGGATGGCCGGTAAGCCGGTAAACAGCTCAATAGGGGCATGTCCACCCAAGGATGCCACCGCCGAGTGGTTGAGATTGGCTTGGATCACAGGTAGGAGGTGGACCCAATTGCGAGTATCCAACTTAAGTTCCATGGGCATCACACGCATTACTGGCAGGATATCTCTATTTACACGCTCGACATTACCGTTGATCCACGGTGTGTGTGATGGAGGAAGTTGCCGATCGCTTGCAAGCGACCGGCAAGTTCCTCCATCACAGCTGCTTTAAAGTGGAACCGTTGTTGGATGCCCATATTTTAGACAGGCCGAACCGCTTGTGCCAGTCAAGCACAGCCTGCACTGCAGTTCCACTATCTGCTGCATCGGTAGCGATCAACTCACAGTAATGAGTAAGCTCATTTTTGAGCACAAGTACGTAGCGACTCGCACCGTAAGATTCCCCTAGCTGCCGGTAGTCTATATGAAGGCACTCGTTGCGCTTCACAGCTGTCGACGTCGGCCCCCACGGACGCATGACGATCTTTCCGCCTTTAGCATGCTTCCAGGGCAAGCACCTCCGCCGAAACCGATCAATGATGGGCTTCTCATTTGCAATAGCAAAGCGCTCCGCAAGGGCCGTATGCATGACGTCGCTGCCTCGGTGTCCTTGAGTACCACAATAGACAACCACTAATAGACGTTGCACCAGATCGCGGACTTACTTAAAGATCCACAGCTTGCCATCGGCACGGACAACTCGATCTTCGCCGGCATGTCACGGAGCGTCAGCACTATAGCGGTGCTGCTCGTCTCGGACTGCATCAACCCCTGGCCACGCAAAGTTTTTGTCCTGTAGCGGGCGAAGTGCTGAAACCGGCTGAGTGCTGCGAGTTGTCACCCTCTTGGCGAGTATGAGCTTCTCACCCCCTCTTGCGAAAGCGGGATCTGCCAGGATGCGGCCGCAATGTAATCGTTGTCAAACGTCCACGCAGAGGATGTTTTGCAAGGCATCGAGTCTCCAACATCGGCTCTCACCGGCAGTGCGACTCGCTTGACTGCTTGCAGCGGTTGCACCGGAGTTGCTCCTTCCTGGCCCCACCGCGACACGAGGTCGGCCCATACATTATCATCGCCTTTGATGTGCTCTATAGTATAGCAGACACCAGCGATGTACAGGGCCCACCGTTGCCGCTTGCCGCGCAAGTGTGGCTTGACCGTCTTGTCAGGTGAGAAAATGTGGATCAGATTGGCATGGTCGCAATAGATCTGGACACCTTTTTCACGCTCGAGAAGATAAGCAATGACACTGCATGCACGATCCACTGGGTATGCCTCCTTTTTCACAATCGACCAATTCACCTAAGAGCCCGTGAATAGTCCTCCTCGACACACCAGTAGCTCGTGTAGCTGCTCAGTGACTGGAACATCTGCAACCCAGTGGCGAACTTGGCTTAGTATGACCGACCAATCGCCGAGCGAAGCATCGGTGAACATGCAAACAACGGCGTCAGGGTCAGCAAAGTAGAGCTTGGCGGAGGTGGCCAACAAGTCGGCCATATTCCGAAAAGCTGCTTCATCCTCTGGTGGCCAAGCTAGCCTGACGCCTGTAAGCTGTGCCTTGCGCCATCCTCGACGGGACATCACTGCTTCCAGCTTTGTCCAACGACCCGAGCATAGTCAATTATCGACTCTCGTAGCCAGTTAGCTGCGCACAGGAATTGCTGCAGCGCGGCTGCTGTCGGTGGTAGAGCCAAACATGTCAATGCCTCCCGGCGCCCTGGTGAGTGCTGAACTCCTTGACCGTCAATAACGTTGCCACACCAAACAACTCTTGTGCTGAAAAGTACGCACTTTTTCGCGTTCAGCTTCAGTCGTCTAACACGCAGCACCTCCAAAAAGGTCATCAGGTTAGCGAGGTACTCAGCTGCTGAGCCAGCAAATAGCAGGAGGTCGTCAATTCAGACACAGAGGCTTTTATATATCATGTCTTAGAAACAATGCTGCATCTGTAGCTGGAAGTGCATTGCGGAGTCATAAGCTCCTTGCAGCACACGTGTCGGCGTGAAGACACCATCTTCCGTAACGAAACTAAACGGCTCCTGGCTGTCAGGGTGGGGAGGCAACTGCTAGAATCTCTTGAATAAATCGAAAAGCTCAAACCCGTAAGCTCCTCTCACACTCTGCGTTGCCGAAGACAAGTTCACCGTGGCCCCAGCTAGAGGCACCGTGTACTTGTTCGGTGGTCGTTAGGCCACGGCACAATGTAACTCATCGTTGTGTGGCATTTTTACAGGAAGTCCCCGACATGCCCAGTGGCTAGCGTTGTTACGCCGTACAAGTCCATATCGCTCTAGCTTTAGCACAAATTCTCTACCAAACATTCGTTGCGTAGGAGAATACTTCCTCTTCCACTACAATAGGGCACAGCGCCGTCACGAAGCTTGACTTTCAGTTGCTCGACATCTGCTGGCGGGTCGGCTCCGATACGAACTCGCCACACGTCAGGATACTCGTAGACTAGATTGCGCAGGTCGCTGAGCAACGCTGGCCCAAATCCGGCCGCTGCCGCAGCGACCAGCATCCTGTCCAGATATATGTTGATCTCATCGGTAATAATTGCAAACACTAATTGCGGGTTGTCCCTGGAGGCATCATCATCGTCAGCATCCCCAACACGACCGCCAGCCAACTGCTCAAACAATCGGTAAATATTGATATCGATATGTTGCATCGCTTTGCGCCCAAACAGGAACTCGTCTTCATGACCATCCATCACGAGACACGACACATTGGTGAGATGCAGCGATCCTGCAGCCGTTTCAATCCGCAAGTCTAATGTGACTGTGTCTCGGCAGACCATGCGGGCACCGCCTGCGACCTGGTATGACCGGGTTCAAAGCTTCCAGCTTTAACCCGCTTTCAATACCCTGAAGTTCCTGGACCAGCACACGCGATATGATGTTGCTGTCTGCCCCTGTGTCGGGGCAAAATGGGATTTCCAAGACGCCATTGATGCACACTCGTCGGCCACCCACGCGCACAACCCTCACGACTTTAACACGCTCTTCCCTGCGCGCTCTGCGAGCCTGCAGCTCTTGCTGTATTTCCTGTTTTCTCTCTTCAAATGCATCGAGACAGGCCTTCACTCAATGCGGGCCCCTTACCGACTAGACAGCCTGACCAAGGTGGAGCTGAAGTCGTCTTCTGTTCAGGCTTTGAGCGCTCCGGTTTACCAGCAGTCTTAACATGCTGCTGTTTTCCAGCACCAGACTTCGTGCTACCAGCCGTTTTACCCCTTGGCGGGTCATCACGCTTTAATTCGCTCTGCATTGTGTGAAAATATTGTTGGTACTTGGCACGACCAACGATCAGCTCGTACAGCGCCACGTCGTCCAGCTTTGCATGCTGGTGTGTCACTGCAACGAGGCGCTCTATGTAGACACGCAGTACCGTGAGGAACAGGTTCAAAATAAGCAGCTTTCAGCGAGTCTTCGTACGCTGCCGACCTGCTGCGTCCGTCACGGGTCCTCGGCCGACCCACGCCATGCGTCCATGCTCGTCAACGGGCTGGTTAAAGCTCATGGAGTACTTGACAATACGTGCGTGGATGTCCGCCACCTTCATGTCCATTTTGAGGCTAGCCTGGCCACGCCAGAGACGTGATCATTCATCAGCGTGCCAGCACGGCGCGCGATGTCTTCCTGTAAGCGCGCCTCCGTCACCTTCTTCACGGTGGTGCGGAGCTCGTAGTGCGCCACCGAACCTCAGCTCCATCACCTTCGTCCTGCAAGCCACCGGTCTGCCAATGACTACCACTGCTGCATGCCTTTGTCTAGTCAATCGTACCGGCTCGTGCCGCCGTCCGACTTCACTGCTGCGCCCTCCGTCGGTGCTCGAAGGCACGCGTTCCTCGTCGCACCTGCGTCACGCCAGCACTGCCCGCTTCTGGACTCCACTAGAGGATACCGGTATGGGCCTGGTCTACCAGAGACCAGCCAGTTGTCCTATTGCGTCGGTGTCTGTCGCCGCGGTGTCGTCTGGTACATGCGGCGCCATCGCCGCTCAGCAGCGTATCAACGCCCAAGAAGGCGTTGCTCTCCAAGTCCACCGCGGCGTGTTCGGAGACGCTGAACATGCGATTACCTGGTCGCTCCGTCGCCCGACATCTCCCTGCACCAGGTGCTGTTCGCATTCAACAACCTGTTCCTCCCTTTCGGCGTCGACGTCGCGATCCCGGACCTGCATCAGCCCCATATTTATCACTTCAAGATGCTAACACCGACCACGTCAGCGATGATGGCTCCCATGCATCCGATGAGCGCGATGGTTCCAACAGCCTTGACAGTCGGGACGAACAGACTGACACAGCACGGCGTAACCCATGGCGTAAGGGCCATGAAAATATTTCCGAAGTTCTGGCTGATCGAGTCCGGGAACGGCTCGAGTGGAGTGCTACCCAGCACTAGGAAGACACAGGGAAGTAGCAGACATACGAGTAAATCGGACACACTGACGAGATAGCGTCCGGTCTTGCCGGCGCCCAATTACCGACGTCGCCGCAACCGCTCATTGTTTTAATTGTACAGCAAAATAAAATCTTGACAAGTTTGCTTTGTAATTTATAAAGCAAAATACTATTTCGAAGTCTTTGCTTAGGAAAAGATAAAGCACAACCGATTTACCTGATGAAATGGACGTGCG